ATACCAACAAGTCACTACAAACCAAGGTTCTAAGTTGGAAATCTCATTCTAATTAAGTTCAAACATATCGCCAAAGCTCAACTTGGAATAAATAATACTGAGCTAAGTGATGATATTGACAAAATATTAATATATATGTGGAGAATATAAAAAAGATGAATGAGACACTTATATAGGCAACAAAAAGAGGAATTTACCATTTTTCATTCATTACTTCAAGTGATAAAACTAGAGACCGATTTATATTAATACAAAGATTATTCTAGAAGCCATTTATATGCTAGCATAATCTAAGTTTTCTAGTTTTTATTGGATGTGGAATACAAAGAGACACTCTAAAAAATATATTATTCTAGATATTTCTAATAGTTAATAATTTTGATTTAAATCCAAACACTCCCCCTTGAATCGAAATTTTCATTGACTACTCCAAGAAGTGTCTTCAATTTTATGAATCGTTCCGTAGCTAACGGCTTGGTGAGAATATCTGCAACTTGATCTTCAGTTCTTAATACTCCACTTGAACTTCTTGATCCTTGATTTGGTCTCTTATTTAATGACAAAGAATATCAATATGCTTGCTTCCTTCATGATGAACAAGATTTTTTGATAATAATATTGTTAATTATTTGTCAACATAGATTTTTGTTACTTCATCTTGAGAATATCCAATTTCTTTTAGTAGCTTCCTTAGTCATATTGCATGACACATTATACTATTGTTGCAACATCTTCAGCTTCACACGCTGAGAGAGCAACAATCGATTGTTTTTTTTTTAACATCATGTGAATGCAGTGTCACTCATATAATATAAGAAACCATTCATACTTTTTATATCATCTTGGTCACTAGCCCAATCACAATCTGAATATCCCGTAAGTTGATGTTCACTAAAATGAAAATATAAAAGTCCTTGAGTTAGTGTACTTATAATATAACGAAGAATCCTTTTATCTACCTTTAAATGCACCTCAGTGGGCTTTTCCGTATAACGACTGATTATTCCAACTGCATATAGAACGTCTCGTCTTATGCATGTTAGACACCTCAAACTTCCAACTATACCTTTGAAAACAGTTGGATCTACTAACTTTCCATCCTTCTTTGACAGTTTGATACTGCATTCCACCTGTGTGCTTACTCGATAGCAATAATTCTTATTAAATTTCTTCAGTACTTCCTCTGCATATGTTTCTTATTTAATGAATATGCCTTCTTTATTTTGCTTCACTTCAATTCCAAGGAAGAATAACATAAGTCCAAGATTTCTCATCTCAAATTCTCTTACAATAATTTGCTTAAACTCTTTGAATAAGAGTGAATTATTTTCTATAAGAATAAGGTCATCTACATATAAACAAATAAGTAATATATCTCCATATCATGCTTCTTCACATAGATGGCATTCTCATAAGGACATTAAATATAATCATTTGGTTTGAAGTATGAACCCATTCTTGCATGTCATGCACTGGTGCTTATTTTAAGCCATATAAAACCTTCCTTAGTTTAAAAACTTTTGAATCATTACCCTCTTTAATATATCCCGATGGATATTCGACATATTCTTCTTCTTCAATAAATCTATTTAGAAAAACGATTCACACCCATTTGAAAAGTCAAACAACTATTTTGTGCAACAAGCAAAATAATAAGTGAATAGTTTCCATGAGAATAACAGGAACAAATGGCTCCTAATAGTCGATACATTCTTTTTGTTTGTATCCTTTTGCCACCAAACATGCTTTGTACCATTCAATTCATCCCTTTGCATTTTTCTTTATGTTGTATATCCATTTTACACCAATAGATTTATGTCCATGTGAAAACGTTGTGAGGTCCCATGTATCATTTTTCACGCGAGGTTTGATTTCTTCATCCATTTCGCATCTCCATCTTATATCTTTTATGGAATCTTCAACATTCAATGTCTTGTTATTTCTAAATAAGCAAACTATGTTAAGCTCATCAGTTTCTTCATAAAGCTCTCTTAAACATCTAGTCTTCTTTTGCCTTTGATTATTGCTTGAGGTTGGAGAATGTGATGAAGATTCTTACAAATTTATTGACGATAGCTCTTCATTTTGTAACTCTATAGTCACCCAAGCTTCCTTTTGGAGTGACTTCGTTGTGCCAACCCCATGCTCCTTCTTCATCGAATTCTATATCCATATTAAAAATAATTTTAGAAGTGTTAGGATCAAATAATTTCTATGATTTAGAGTAATACCCGATAAAAATGAGTTTAGAGCTTCTGTCATCCTACTTAGTTCTTTTTTGTTTAGGAACATGTGCATATGCAATGCTCCCAAACACCTTCAGATGAGAGATATTTGGCTTTCCCCCCGTCCAAGCTTCTTGAAGCGTCATATCATGTAAAGTTGAAGTCGAGTACCGATTGAGAATATAAACAACACATACCACTGCCTCGACCGAAAATTATTTTTGACATTTTCTTGTTTTTTATCATGCTTCGCACCACATTAAGAATAGTGTATTTTTATTCTTTCCACTACAGCATTTTGTTGGGGTGAAAAATGTATTGTTAGTTGATGTTGAATGCCATGCTCTTAACAACAATCTTCAAATATTTGAGAAGTGAATTCACCGCCTTAGTCTGATCGAATGATTTTTATTGAATTATCATTTTCATTATCTACACTTGCCTTGAATTTTTTAAACTTGATAAAAGCTGCGGATTTTTCTTTAAAAAAATAGACCCACCTTTTTCTTGAATAATCATCAATAAAAGTAAGGAAATAACGATGTTTACCAAAGGATGTTGGAGTAAGAGGTCCACATACATCCATGTGGATTAATTGAAGAGTGTTCTTTGATCTAAAGCTTACTTTATTTGGAAAACATTTTCTAAGTTGCTTTCCAAATACACATTCTTCACAAATTTGATTTGGATGATTGATATTTGGCAACCCATGTACAATTCCTCTTCTTGACATGTTATTTAAATCTCCAAAATTTAAATGGTTGAGCCTCAAATGTCAAATCCATGAAGATTCTACTATGCAAGTCTTTAAGCTTTTCATTATACCATTCTTTATATTAAGAATAATCGTTCTATTACTAGTCATCTCCACTTGGGCAATTAACTGATTCAAATTATTTTTAATATGTAGCTTTTTGTCCTTCATATGAATATCAAATCTTTTTTTCAAGTAATTAGCTATAGCTTAAAGTATTATTCTTCCTATCCAAAACATAATAAATATCAGAAATAAATTGATGACTTCCGTTTTTAAGAAGAATAAGGATTTTACCTTTTCTTTTCACCGGAATTTTTGAAAGAATCTCCAAAATAAATTTTAATCTCCATTGCCTCTATCTCTACGAACATGTCTTTATTTTCGCACATATGATTACTTGCTCCAGCATCTAAGTACCAATTATTTTGTTTTTCATGTTCTTCTCCTTGAATGCTAATAATAAGAGATGTTCCTCTTCTTTTTTCAAGGCCAATTTAGCTTTTCTTGATTATGATAACATTCAGAAGCATAATGACCCATCTTCTTACAAATACAACAACTAATATAAGATTTTCTGTATCTTTGGTGTCTTGGCTCTTTCTCCAATTCTTCATTTCTTGATGTTTAACCATCCATTATTTTTTTGATATCCTTCGCGTCCATATCCTTGGCCTTTTCCAAACACACAATCATGACCATGACCAGGATTGCAACTGCGACCACAACTTTGCCCATTAACGTTACGAGCACTTGAAGAATCTTCTGTTTTAGAGTCTTCATTTTCATTCTTTAATGTAGCTTTGATTGGAGAGCTTACTTGATAATATCCTATTTTTTTATTCTTTTTTTGTTCACAAGTGAATAAAGAAACCATAAGTTCATTAACAGTCATAGAATCTTAAGTGTTTAGCTTCCTCAATAGCTACTACAATGTGCTCTAATTTATCATTCACCGAACGTAAACTTTTTCAATCAATCTAACATCTTCTAAATTTTCTACATGCATTTGTAGTTGATTAACGACAATGAAGACTCGTTGTGAAATAATCCTCCACATTTTTTGATTCCTTCATCAAGAGTGCCTCGAACTCGGCTCGAAGAGTTTGAAATCGAACCTTTTTCACATTGTCCATGCTTTTAAAAGAGACTTGAAGCATTTCCCTTGCTTGCTTGGAGGTGGAGGCGCCGACCACCTTCTCAAAACATGGCTCATCTAAGGTATGAAAAATGAAGAGAACTTTCGTATCCTTCTTTCTAATTTCTTTTAACAAATCCATTTGGCCTGTTGATAATGTTTCCTTTTTCAACTATTACTCAAATATCCTGAGAACCAAAAAATTCCTTCATTTGAACACTCCAATTCTCATAAATTGATTTTGTGAGACAATGCACTTCTAGATTCAAGTCAATTGTCATATTTTAACAACGTTGGCTCTGATACCAATTTAATATAATATAAATATACGTGGAAAATATAAAGAGGTGAAAGAGATATTTGTATAGGAAACAAAGAAGAGGAGTTTACTATTTTTCATTCATTGCTTCAAATGACAAGACTAGAGACCTATTTATACTAATACAAATATTTTCTAAAAACCATTAAAATCCTAGCATAACCTAGAAAAATCCACAATTAAGTTTTCTAGTTTTTAATGAATGTGAAATACAAAAAGACACTTTAGTAAATATATTATTCTAGATATTTCTAATTTTTAATAATTTTGCTCTAATTCCAAACAGATACTAGTAACCCTGTTTTGTCCAAGAACAAATTGGCACAACAGCGCACAAACTCGAACCACCTTCACATACCCCAAGTGTTTCACATCTTCCTGCCCAAACCATATTGCAAAAAACCATCAGTTGAACATTGCTCTTGTAACACCAAAAGACTGGGAGAACCATCCTCAGGTTCAACCAGTAAACATTCTCAGTTCTCACCTGGTGTTCAAAATGTTAACAACCTGGTAACCCATTGTGCGATAGACATGCATATCATCAGAAGATGCCACTTGGCTTGGCGAAGAACTATATAACATACAGGGCAAGGTCACACATTTGAAGAGCAAAATTGATACAAACCACAATAATGATGCAAATGTTGAATCAACTAACACACGTCAAAGGTAGTAATGCAAAACACCTTTATGGCTCGAAGACCATCAAATTATAGGAGGATAGTGGCGGGTGCTATTTGAGTTAATAAGAGGTACACTGCAGTAATTGGGCGAGTTTTTCTAATCATTAGAATAGTTGGTTTACCATGGATGCAACTCTTTTAATAGAAGGAAATGAATATCAAGGCCTCTTTTAATACATAACTTCTCCATCTCTATGCAGTTCTTCGTGTCCAATCTCTGTTCTCTCTGGAGCTCTTAGCAGCCCTTAATTGCCATTTATCTGTTCATAACATTTGAGGGAAGATTTTGTCTTTGCATTAGCTTCTGCTTGCACAACCGCTACAAATTTTGAAGGCCTCAATATGGTTATTAATACTTTGCACAGTATCCAAAGAAAGCTTTGTAGTTTAGTGTTAAAACTTCCTTTCGGGCTCAACGTTCTTTCGTACAACACTGCTTGTACAGCCTCAAGCATAATGATATATGTTGCAATTATTCAAGGATAATATTATTTTTCTTGGAAGCAGGAACAGCCTCTCTGTTTCATCGGCAAAAATTACAAAGCTAACGTTAGGAAATGTGGAAAACTAAATGCATAAATGATAGACAATTTAATTGATTATAAACAAAAGGCACAACATCGCAAATTAAACATCAATGTTTATCTGAATGAAGGTCATTAGCATAACTTGTGTACCAATGTTAAAAAAAAAACAAAAATAAGAATAAAAATAAATACTTCCTTATATCAGTTGCGATGAGACTTCTTCTGAGGCATCAAGCTTCTGCATCAGTAAATCATATCACCTGTATAACACTCTCCTTTTGATATGACAATTTTGGTGTGGAGATGAAAGGGAAAATCTATTTGAAAGCCCATTTAAGTCTACCAATAGGCAGTATTATTCCATCATGAAGTAAAACACTACCTTAATCGGATTTAAAGTGGAAGCATGTTATTACATTTGTTTGTGTTAATTCACAACTTGTTTCGGGGGCCTTTCCAGTGAAATCCAACCAAACTTCCCCTTCCTAAAATCACTTAGAACACGAAATGATGCTTGGCCAACATCTCCGTTGAACAACTGAAGGGAAAGCTTATCAAGAAATCTACAGATAAATAATTAACAACCATTAAAAACCCAGAAGGAATGGTATTACTTAGGCAGTTCGCCAGATTGAAACATACATTCTACCAAAGCAAGCATCTGCATCAATTCCATAACGCTTGGAAAGAACCTCTGGTCCTGCAAGGATTAAAATAGAGGCCAAGTAGTAAAACTAAGAGAATACAAACCATGGAAGTTCCTATGCACAATACAAATGATAAAGAAAATCAAAGCAAATGAAACTGAAGGTGCCTTTTGGGATCACTTTCATTTTTGGTTTTTGATTTTTGCTTCTATTTTGTTTTGTTTATGTTTTGATTTGAAATAAAACATGTTTAGCAATTTGATTAAAAAATAATTCTTTTTTAAAACACTCAAAACACGTAAAAGTTATTTTGAATGTTTTCAAAAACATGTTAATTTATTTTTAGAAACAAAAAAAAACATACAAAAAACAACCTAAAAAAAACATGTTTTTAGAAACACAAGAGAAAAAAAATGATTCCAGTAAAAACCTAAAATTTATATAATCCCATTAAGTAAAACACAAGCCCTACCAATATAAATGCTAATATATTACAAAAGTTGAAACAAACTGCAATTCTCAAAGTAAACCATAAGGTTAGATAATAAATAAAGATTATCCCTCGGCCAACTAAAAAACAGTTAAACCAAGCAATGAAGAACATCATGCAAGATGAAAAATCACCTATTATTGGCAGCTTTGCAAGCATTTGCAAAAGAATGGTAGCCACATCAGTGACATCATATGATCTATCGCCTATGTCGTCACATATTGCAAGCTTGATTGCAGCTGCTTGGTCCGTGAGGCGCATCGGTAATATGCCTGGAGAGTCCAGCAACTCAAGATCATTCCCAAAGCGGACCCACCTATAAAGGATTTGCTGGATCAGTCACAAAATCATCATCATCATTAGCCTTATTCAAGATATTTGGAGGTCATGATCATAAATCTTCAATTCTTGTTGAATGCTCTTTAGAAGCCTATTCTTCATAAATAATTTAATACAACTTCTAATCAATTTTCTCTCCTAAAACGCTATTAGTTAACTTGTCTAATGTCCTATCAACAATTTTTGTTGATGCCCTATGTAAGTTTTTACTTGAATGAAAAACATATTTAAAGGGACTAATTTCAGATAGTGGCTTTTTTTGGGATTAAATAGCACCAATGAAACTCTTAGATTTCCTGTTTGTGAACTTTTGCTTTACAATTCCCAACTACACTCACTAAAGTTTTATTTGAGTCTAGACCTAGACTGAAATTTTAAAGAACTACAATATTTATTGCTTACTTCAACTCTCTTGTAACACCTGGCCTAGGGGCTGCTGGGCACATTCGGCGCTTTAGCAAACGGTTGATTAGAGAAGATTTACCTACATTTGGATATCCCACAATTCCAGCCCTGACCTGTAAAAGAATTTACTGAAGTTATCTAAAAGTTGAATGAGATATTTGGGTGGTGAGAAAAAAAAAAGAAATAATATCAACGGTCTATTACTTGAAACATACTACATAGCCAAGAGGAGAAGGTCAAAATAGCTTAAATTAGGAAAAGCAGGTGGCCCAAGAAATTGAATCTCATAAAATCAAATAGCAAGTGTTAGCTAAATTCATTCTTGTTGATGAGATTAAAGCGAGTCATAGCCATTTTCTTGGTCGCCTTGCAATTTCTAGAGCATATAATGATCCATTAAAAAAAAGTCAAAAAAGAATATAGAATCAGATGGATAAATAAATCCAATATTCCATGAAGCACCTTCAAAAGTATTTGCAATAAATTCATGAAGGGATATACAACTGTATAAACATGTTACATATGTCAAAGCAGAGCATCCTTGAATGAGTTTAGCTTAAACATGCCAAACAGATTCACTACACAGCGAGCTAATTGCTACATCTGGATGAATAATACATAGAATAAGTCTGCATTCCGCAAGAAGCCAAGCCTTCATCAATTAAAGGTCTCTTCTTCGACTAGAAAAGCCTTTCTAAAGGTATGAATACAAATAGTTTATTGAGAATAAAAGATGATTATTTTTGTATTTAGGTTAATAAATATGGTTAATTAGTTATAAATTAGTGTTAGTGAATTAATGGTTCTCATATTCTATAAACAGTACTCCTTGAAGACATGAAAAAGAAGAAAAAAAATATGTGGTAAGTTCTTATCTTATTCTGCGTTTTCATCTTTTCGACCCCACTTCCAATTTTTTAGAATTGTTGGCATCTTTAAATTGTCATTTATCCTCCTTAAACATGTGTTTCTCTTCTCGGATCCTACCCCACCTTACTTCTGGAGTAACAGGCATCCTAGAGTTGTTGATTGTCAAGATCCAATAAATTTGATGTTAACAATTGGTGCTCTTGTTGAGACAATCACAAAACATTGGTCGTGTCTTCCCATTCCTTCCATTAACTTTTTGACTTTGTGCGCAAGGTCACTTTGAAGGAGTTGATAATGATAGGATATTAATAACATGACATTATTAGTTTTGTATTTAGGTTAATAAATATAGTGAGGTAGTGTAGGTTTTGAGAATTAAGCAGAATAATTTTATTGATATGAATAAATGAATAAGTACATGTTACACGATTTCTAAAAAAGGAAAAACATAACACCACCTATATCTCTTAGATTATAATTAATAAATTCCTAATAATTAACCGGAGATAAAAAGAAAAGACATCAAATAGGAAATACATAAAATAAGAAATAACTGGAAGTAAATAAATCAAGACTAATATCTTCTAACATAAAATAGGAAAAAACTAGGAAGGAAATAAATCTATACTAATAACATCTAGCGCTCCCCCTTAAGTTGAAATATAGATATCAATCATGTTCAACTAGGATTTGAAATCATCAAATAATGTGAGATAAAACTTGAAGTCTTCATAACCAAGGCATTTAGAGATACTTCTAGCTGACTACAATTGTCTTCGACTGCAATTTCTGCAGTTCATGTAGATAGATGGAAGGTTGCTATAGGTACTGCTGCGGGGAATTTTGCAAGGGAGTAGACAACCTACAAAGAAAGTTGCAGAGTATGATCTGCAGAAAAAAAAACAGAGGGCCTAATATAGGAAAAAACTTTAGAGGGCTTACAGTAAGAAAAAGATCCGGAGAAAAGCCACCTGCAGGGAAATACTTGGAGGGCATGTTGCAGGAAAAAGCTCTGGCGCTTATTGCAAGGAAAAGATCTGAATGAAAACCTAATGCAGAAAAAAGTTCCGGACGAGGGCCTACTTCCGGAGAAAGGCTTGCTGCAAGAAAAAGCTCCAAGGGTCTACTACAGAAAAAAGCTCCCAAGGAGGGCCTATCGCAGGGAAAAGCTATGAAAGAAAACCTATGGAAAAAAAAATTTCTGAGGAAGGCCAATAGGAGGTCCTGCTATAGGCAAAAATTTTCAGAGGCGGTCTGCTGCAGGAAAAAACTCTAGAGGAAGGTTTGCTACGAGGAAAAGCTATAGAAGAGAGTGCTGCAGGAAAAGGATTTGGAGGGCATATTACAAAGAAAAGCTCCATAGGACAGTGCTGCAGGAAGAGAGCCTGCTGCAAGAAAAAGCTTCAGTGGAGGGCGTGCGGCAGTAAAAAGCTCTGGAAGGGGACCTATTGCAAGGAAAAGCTCCGGACAAGGGCGTGTTACAGTGAAAAGCTCCGAAGGAGGGCATATTGAAGGGAAAAACTATGGAGAAAAGCCTGCTGCAGAAAAAAATCCGGATGAGGGCCTGCTGCAGGAAAAATATCCGGATGAGGGCCTACTGCAGGAAAAAGCTCCAAAGGAGGACCTTTTGCAGGAAAAAATTCCAGAAGAGAGCCTGCTGCAATCTAGAAGCGTCCTCTGCTTTTTGTTCCCGCTTTTGAAAGTCTTCTAGGCTTGCCATTCTCTCAACGGTTCATGCTTGAAAACGAAAATATGGAAAAACTTAAGAGTATTTCAAGTAGACTTTGTTGTCGTAGCCCCTTCACATTGCAGTATACCAACATCCTTACCTTTAACATTCACTGAGAGTGAAACAAAAGGAGGACCATCAATCAGATCAATGCCCCCGGGACGCAACACCGGAATCATGCCAAGAAGGCTCTCATTAAACGCCAATGTTGCATGTAAGCTACTACAATAGTCCTAATATCATTTTGATCCTTGACTGGCCTTGTGAAAATCCAAAAGTGCAACAGTTTTGCATAAAAAAAGTTGCAGGAGGAGGACATATCATAGGCAGCATTTCTTGAAAATGTGCCAACAGAGTAACTGCATCAATAGACTGATTATTCTGCATGTCTTGATTTAGATTAAATTGCAATAGAAGCGGCCACTTGAAATTTGAGATAAGATCGGTTCTATCTATGGTGAGGCTGATTCTATATTGATTATCGCTTAGAAATTCATTTTGTAGCAGTTCCTCCTAAAAGGCAACAGATCGTGCACCCTAACCACTACTACAAAATCCTCAGGTGTATTATAGGCTCTGGTTTCAAGTTAGTCAATGGCATCTCCGCTAACTTGCTCATCGCAACATCCTCCTCATCGCCAAGCTGCAGCAAGCGGCGGATCTCCAATGAAAGGTCGAATGAGACCCAGCTATATCTGAGAAGGGAGGTAGCAGGTGAGGCTTCATTGAGCTCAACCTTCCACTCATGCAGCATCTGGTTAACCTGCTCCTCAAGCAAAATGACATCGTCGACGCGGCTCTCTCGGCAAGCGGATTGGGATTGAAGAACATCCCTTGTAGATCATCGATGTAGTTTTTTGCCTTGTCCTTGAACAAATGCTGCAACACCGACTTGCAGTCCTTCCCCATCCTCCCACTTCACTTCTTAATCTGGTCAAAGAGGAAGATAGTCACAGATTTAGATGTTGTGGAATGGTATCAGTTCAAACCCTAGAGGAATACAGAAGAGGATAATGGTGAATAAATCTTGGATAATGATGAATAAATCTTCCTGTAGCTTTTCCACGCGATGCTGCGGGGGCGTATTCTTATATCGGAGCTTTATGCAAAACTCTTTTCCCCTCTCAAGGAAAAAGAAGGAATGAACCCCACAACTAGTTCCCGCGGGAAGAAGTTCATACGGCCAAGGCCTGCAGGGAAAAATCACTGGTTAAAGAAAGTAATGAAATTTCTAGCGCAGGAGGTATCCTCCGCCGGAGACTCTAGGAATTTTTTTCAAGGCTCTAATACCATGTAGGTTTTGAGAATTAAACGGAATAATTTTATTGATATGAAAGGATATATAAATACATGTTACATGAATTTTAAAATATGAAAGACATAACACCACTCATATCTCTTAGATTACAATTATTCAAACACTAATAACTATCCAGAGATTAAAAGAAGAGATATAAAATAAAAAATACATAAAATAAGAAATAACCGGAAATGAAATAAATCAATATTAATAACTTCTAACATAAAATGGGAAAATTTTGGAAAGAAAATAAATCAATACTAATAATTTCTAGCAAGTAGTTATAAATTAGTGTAGGTCCAGTGACAGACAAGATTTGATAGAGACGTCTTAGATGGTTTGGTTACACTACTCATCAACCATCTGATGATTCAGTTAAGAGAATAGATGTTTTAGATTCGACCCATGTTAAGAAATATAGAAGACCTAAAAAGACTTTGGCATATTGTATAAAAATTGATCTTAATTTATTATAACTAAATGAAAATATGACACTAAGACATAATTGAGAAAAAGAATTCACCTATTCGACCCCACTTAGTGGGATAAAGGCTTGTTATTGCTGTTATTGTTGTCGTTAGAGATTAGTGTAGGTGAATTGAAGTTCTTGTATAGTATAAATAGTCCCCATTGGAGACATAGAAGAGGAAAGAATGTGTTTTAAGTTCTTCTTCTATTTAGTGTTTTCTTCATATCTCCCCTTTCTCTATCTTCTGGAGTTACAGGTATCCTCAAATTTTTATTTATTCTTCTCAAATATGTATTTCACTTTTATGATCCTCCCCCACCCTACTTCTAGAGTTGTCATGATCCTCAAAATGTCGATTATCATGATCCAAATAATTGGATCATAACAAATACATAAATTCTTAATTGATAAGATCGATTATGAGGAATGACTCAACCTAAGGAACTAAAAGAGGTTGGAGAAGGCAAACAAAGAAAGTATTAAATTCTTCAAGAAAATTTAATGTAAGTTACTGGACGAGGTAGCAAGCCCTTGGCTCTACGTTTGACATTCACGTTGGAGGCTAATGATTTCGCAAGTCTGCCAAGTTTCATAGTGCCCTGAAATTGAAAAGAAATAGACATATGATTAATAAGTGAACCAAAACATATAAAATTTCTTGAAGTAAAGAGTCATTCAAGTACCATTCCAAGTTGTCCATTTGAGAATACAACTTTCACGCCCTGTCTTGCAAAAAAAGTAGCCCATGCATTTCTATCGGCAGTGGATATCATGTCTTCTCTGTTCAATACAAGTATCCTTCTACGATTGCCAAGCCATAGATCCATCTACATGAATAAATTTAGTCCAATATCAAGCTTAACAGTTGTAAATTTATCCTTTGAAAGGAAAATTAATTTAAAACCTGTGGATGACTAGTGGACATTGGAATCCTTGCATCCCTAACTTCTATTACAACATCCATTAGCTTGAGCTGTTCTTTGAGTTCCTTCTCCGTTTTAGCAATATGACCAGGATACCACTGTCAAGCACCAGATTTCAAGTCAAGCACATAAATCCATGATAAACTAAATGTTTTCAATTCAACTATAAATAAAAAGGTCATAGTTCAGAAAGCAAGCATTTTGAGAAAACAAGTTTGTACCTGAACAGGCCGCAGCTGTCTCGTCCAATAATGCAAATCAGCATCCAGCTTCTCCCAGTCAGTTTCTTCCCAAAGTTTCTCGGTTGCAAAACCATACATGCTACTTTTCTGTTTCTGAGATAAGCTGGAGATAATTCTAGACCCAAGCTGCAAGGATATTCACTTCAATCTTATAATAAATTGATTTCCAACCATTAACTGGATTCAAGTTTTTACGCTTTAAAGAAGTTTGTGAACTAAAGTAACATGAAATTATTGAAATCCAGGGTGGGTTTCAAAGTGCGTAAAAGTAACATATGATAACCATAGAATGATATGAACAGTATGAGAGGAATCAAAACCCTAGAAAAAGCAGTCGCTCACAGCATTTGGACCGAGAAGGGTGAGAGCATCGTGGACTGAGAACTTATGGGAACATTGAGAGTACGGCGCTGCAGCGAACGGCGCCCAAGATTGGCAGTTCACTGGGTATGCTAATGAAGCCATGGGAGAGCTCTGGACTGATAAATCGACAGAAATCCCAACTTTTGGGGATCTTAGCGGGCGTTTATAGGATTTATCCCGGGATATAGGACATCCAGCAAACAAAAAAATTGTGAAAAATTTTTTAATTTAAGAATTTTCATATCTTGGTTCTATGGATTTTCGCATTCGCTGAATTCCATCCAAAAACTAAAAATAGAGAGAATGAGAGTGAGTATGTGTGTGTTCAGTAAGAATCTGGTTTTTTAACAGAGATCGATCAACTCTTTATTGTAAAAAAGACCCCCTATTAATAGCCCTATTAATAGTTAATGAGATATTAAGTAAAAAATTACATGAATGTCTGTACTTTTAAGGGAGTGTTACTAGATATTTTGGACATACAAAAAATAAAGAAGCATATGGTTTGGATATCCTTGCGCTCGGTCGACTAGATCTGTAATCATTGAGTTAGCCAACTACGTTTGATCGAATCTAATGAGTAAGGACAGTAGTCAACCTTAGTGATTCTTCAGACGTCTGGACTTCATTAAGTCAGCTTGGTCAATCGATCGGTTATTTTGGTTCGACTATCGAGTGTTGAGTCTTGGATTGGAACTCATGTTGCTAGGGTAGAACTATGCTTTCAGGCACAGGGTGAGTCACCATAATCTGACAAGTTTGACGAGACATTTGTCTGGGGGGCTTGATGAGCATTTGACAATGAGAACCTCGGGCCTGCTGAAGAGTCTTTGTAACTTCTACATGGCATTTGGTGATACTTGGACGAGAATTCATATAGATAAGTCTCAATCTTTCACGCAAATGGCCTCCATTCGGTTGGCCCTAAGCTCTGTTCTGAGGGAGTTATAGCTGATCAATAAGAACCTTTGGTTTTCTATTGATGTGGCTCCTGCCCCTTTTGATGGGTCATCCATCCTTGACAGTACTTTTTTTTGTAATCCGTTGAATTTTCACAAGATTCGTGTCGATGCATTTATAACATACATATTTAGTTCTTTGATTCTCTTATTTTTTGAAAGTCATGTTACAATAAGGACAATAGAATTTAATGCAAAAAATAAATTCATTTATTTTCGTATTCAGTATTTTAATAATTGAACTCCCTGAATTTTTGTGTACAGAGCCCCTATAAATAGAGCACGATTGGTGCTTTTGTTATCTTCATTATTTGAAAGCGTGTCGTTTAGTTTGCTGGTTTCAGGGGCATCTTCATGGCAAGTGGCAAGAAGGCCTGAAAGACTGTATCACCCAAAAAATACTGGCAAAAGCCTTTGGTGAATATGCATCGCAAGTCCACCGAGAGTGGATCTTGAGAGGAAGAAGCAACGGGAGGGAGACAGCTGCCCTAAGGGTGAGAAGAACAAAACAATGAAGCCATGAGAAGGTAGCTAGCCCGAGGGCATGAAGAAGCCCATGACTATGAAGAGGCCGTGAGAATGGAGTCGGCTTGAAGGTTTGAGGAGAATTAAGCTACTTTCTTACAAGAAGAAATGGGTAGAAGACACCAGGGATGAGGTTGTGTCGTTCCACTCATTGACCATTTTCTAGCAAAAGGAAGGAAGCCAACCTGCTTGTGTGACGACCCCTGTGCCTGTTGTTGCCAACACTTCGATTGTATAGCCAACCCAGGGGATGATCAGAGCATATCTGGCCTCTGACCAGAGGTCTATGTTATTGAAACTAGTCCTTGGGAGTAAACTGACGGGCACTTTAAACAAGGGATTTGCAGTTCTAGAATCAGACCTTGATCAAGCTGCTGTGGATGCCCCACTCATTATCATGGTGGGAGGTATATCGAGCCTTCAGTATGTGATGTTGATCTCTATGATTATAAGTGTTTCTTATTTACTAATGCTTGTTCGTTGATGTAGGCAATGCAGTCATGAGCATTGACTCACCACTACAAGGTGTCACTCAATTTCTACTTCTAGAGCAGCCGAGGGGAGCATGGCTGGGGCACCTAGCAGGGGGAGGTGGTCAATATATTAACTGAACCTCTAGGGGGCCTCAAAAGGAGGACCAACTGCCCGTTACCAAATGCAGAGGTGGAGGCACTCCAGAAGAAGCTAGGGATCCTGAGGTTGGATCACTCTGCTGAGTTGTTGACACTTCAAGTGGAGTTGGCTTATTTTTTTATTTACCAATTCTATCCTGTAAGTTCGACATGTGTAGAATTTACGTGATTTCACCTACTTTTTATTGTGCATTTTAACTGTATTTTTACTGATTTATCACATATTTACACGTGAGAAAGGCTTTTGTTGATATTATGCATGGTATATGTGTTGAATACAAGCAATTTTGGAACAAAAAAAAACCAACAAAAATGTGCCGTAATGCAACATGACCATACCTGAAAGTGGCATGACCACGCTAGAATTTCATATCAGTGACATGACCACACTGGGATCAGGCGTGAAAATTCCACCCGATTTAGAAGCCAGCAGTGACCACATCATATTTCGGTATGAATGCGCCAACGAAGCGAGAAGTCATTTTGGAATAAATTCCCTTGCCAAATTCTTGGATAAAGATATGAGAATGGTTCTTAAGGCTTCCTAATAAAAAAGAGAGACCTGAGACGGCTGGAGGGAGAGAATAGAAGAGATTTTGAGTGATTCCCTTAAATTTTCTTCTTCCTTGGGGTTATAACCTTGAGAGGATATGTTTCTAGCTTTTGTTTTGGGAGTTTTGAAAGAGTTTGTGTATAAGAGGGAGTGGTGCTTCTCTTGTAGAGAGAACAAACCTTTGTTGTAAGTTTTACTTTCTGTTCTATCTTGTAATGAAGATCTGCATGGATCTCCTTCTTGTAATTTCTCAACAACGGTTGGCTAAACTCATTTTGGTGTCTTTATGATGTAGGAATAGTGGTTTTGTCATGGATTTCTAATATGTTTTTACTGTAGTGTTTTTCATGATTTCATGACCTATGTTATTGATTGATATCCAAATTTCATTTAATCCAAGTCTGGCTAACTATGTTTCGTGAAGCTATGACATCTAACGTTGTGTAGTTGAAATGAAAGAATTGATCACATAATCTTGAGAGTATAGACATATTATAGTAGGATTCTACAAGCTTTTCTAGGGGATCAGAAATTTTTTACAGAATTCCATTGGGATTAAGGAAACCTCAACTTTATGGATTCCAATCTTCTTTTTGGCCTAAACATAGGCATAAGGAGAACTTTCCATCTAAGTTTATTAACTATAACGTTGGAAAATATTTAGGATCTCCATGATCCACCATAATCTCCAAATCACAGAGGCACGAGCCTCATCACTCTTGAAGAACTTCTAAGAATTTCCCTACTTTTCTATGTTCTACTGTCTGCAATTTGTTCTGCTTTTGGTAGCATTTTAGTACTTAAATCTTTTCTGTAATCACACCCAGCTAGGTTCACAAGATTAGTGAACTAGAAATTTTTCTGTAAGAATAAGTATTAAGCTTTTTCTCATGGGATCGATACATGGACTAATACACTGCATATTACTAGACACCTATAGTTACGTAATTACTTCACAGTAAGTTTTGATGAGCCAATTTTTTGGCACCATTGCTAAGGAAAGACATTAATAATTATACTTGCATTGCATGTGTGTTTGTTAATCGACTCGTATGGGTCGTTGTGACTGATTGCTGCATTATTGTTTACTTCGTATTTTTATGCATAAGAGAGTTGAGGCCAACCTCACCCCTCTTTGCCTTGAGTTTGATCGCACCTTCAGACAACTTAGGAGAGCAAACTTACTAAAACACTCATTGAGACGGCTGATCCCAACGCCCCCATCATGAAACCAATTTGGGACTATGCGAGCCTTTATACTGAGGAAATCCATATGAGGATCAATTACCCCACTCTTAAGGATAACACCTTTGAGTTGAGACTTCAAATAATCCAAATGGTCCAAAATAACAAGATTGAGGGACTATCTTCTAAGTACCTGAATCTTCACTTAGCCAATTTTCTCAAACTCTGTGCCACTTTTCGATGCAACGGTGTCCCTAGTGATGTTGTTAGACTTAGGCTTTTCTCTTTCTCTTCAAGAGTCAAAGCTAAGGCGTGGCTTAACTCACTTGACCTACGATCAATCATAACCTATAATGACTTAGCTCAAAAGTTTCTAGTCAAATACTTTCCTCCATCAAATATTGTCATACTCAAGAACAATATTACCTCATTCACCCAAATTGATAGAGAATTCATTTATGAGGCCTAAGAGATACTTGATTGGCTGATCATTAAAAAAATTTACAATGGATTGATATGTTCTCTGAGGTCCATAATAGATGCCACTACAACAGGTTCATTGAAGTCTAAACTTGTTGATAAAGCATACCAATTGATAGAAGAGATAATCAGAAACACTTTCCAATGGCCTTTCCCAACACACATGAATCTGCTGTTTTAATTATTCTTGCAACTCAAGTGGCTGCTATTTCTTAGAAGTTAAATAATTTGGAGATGTATCCTATGCAAGGAGTTCCACTCAATGTGACTTGATACATTGACTAGTGATAGATTCGACCATGTCAGCCTTAGAGTCTATTAACGCTATAGAAAAAAAAATGGTCACAATCCTTATACTAACACGTACAACCAGGTTAGAGAAACCATCCAAATTTCTCATGGAACAATAAAAATCACCAGCAATGAGGAAATACTCTGAATAACCCTATAATAAATTTTCCAAAGCAAGGAAATACCCCTCAAAGGTAGCAGTACCTGTTGACCTCAATTTTTATGAGGTATAATTCCCTTCTTTAGAATCTTAGGATGAAGCTATAGGACTTACATGTTGACTTGCCTAGAGGACTAGTGATGGAACCCACCCACATAGAAATTCTAAAAAATTCTTGACTCTTCTTGTAAGGTCCTATATGTATGGTCACAAGCTCTCATTTTTCTTTTGTGATGGCTAACACCAACATGTGAAGACTCAAGAATGAGTTCTCATAAGGATCAACTAGCCTTAGGGCAACCCTAGGTGGCTTAGTCTTGCACACACACACTTAAACTCATCACAAGTTCCCTAGCACACCCAAAACCATCAATTCACTCAAATTGACCCATCTCACCCTTGAGGTCCACAACCACGCCTTATCTCTTTTAAAGTCTCTTTTGAAGTCCCATGGGGGTGGTCCTAAGTCCTTAACCCTTTGTTAGGATGACTAAGACTAACATGTGGGGCTTCAAGAT